ATGTTTTATACCTACAAAGCAGATATAATCTACCTGCAAAACAAAAATAAACTACCTATTGTATTGGAAGAAAAATGCTGGCAACCTACATGGCGGAACATAACAATATAAATATGATATAATATACCTCCATTAAAGGAACGGATTTGGAGGGAAGAACACAAAAATATCACCAATGAAAAGAAGAGACAAAAAAGAGGAGGATTGATAAAGGGAATTGTTTGGAAGAAGGAAAAAAGGAGGGATGAAACAGACTGGGGGTTGAGGTGATTATACGGCTATAACTAATCCTACAATTTGTTTAATCATTTAACATAACAACAACAGTTTTATATAAATGTTTATAAAACACTCATACATTTTTTTTCTTTTGTTAAAAGCACATTTACAACAAAAGTTTATCAAACGCTCAATAACTTTATATTACAATAGTTTATTCTCACACCACAACAGAAGTAGTTTTTTTTTTTTTTTTTTTTTAAATCACAACAATACCAAACTCAAACTGCCTTTATCTTTTAGCCAGAAACCGAAGCTCCATACATCCTTGATTTATTGTATCACAGAGTTTATGTATACATAATATTACGTGGTTGGTTTCACTTGATTAACCCACACAGAGATCGACGGTGCTGATTGGATGCATTGGTGATGATCAGACTGCAATGCCACAGTGGTCTTTGACAGTGTAACTAATTCCTCCATTTCTTGCGTTGTTGAGAAAGTCGGTAAAATATTCAGATTGATCAATCGGTTTGTAGCGGACGGGATGCTCCTCGTCAATCAACTCTTCCGGCGTCTGGCACTTGCCACTCTTGAACAGAAACAGAGCCAAAACGAACCTTTGCGTATCTTTGCTTATTGTCACTCTGTGTTTGCAAGCTTGTATTTTATCATTGCTCCAAACCTACCAAAAAATATTTATGCCATATTATATACAAAAAAAAATATTTGAATACGTGGGACTTTTCATGAATTCTTTGTCACCTCACTTTAACTCAATTCCCATCTCAACATTATAAAACATTTTGAAAAAATTATAAGGTGGTAGAGAGTCCATGAAGATTCCGATTTTTAAGAAAATCTCCTTAACATTTCTCATGTTGCAAAAAAATTTATTAATTATATTGCGTATTTATGTCTATTTATATAGCTTGAGTGAATTAATTATTGTATAATGCCGTATACAATAGTAGCACCTGCAAAATATCGCCTGCGATGAAAGTGAAGGACGATGGCGGGGGTTGACAGAGCACCCAGTCCCCGTTCTTGGTCTGCACCTCCAAGCCATGGCTGTCGTTCACCTGATGCAGCACCGTGGTGAAGTTCTTGTCGGTGTGAAAAAAAACACCCACGTCGGTTTCAATTTCCTCCGATCGCTCGTACTTGAGGAACGACATGTGGTGAGTATTGGTGTTAATATGTGTATCATGGTACTGGTCTACACCATAGCTTTCGAATATCATCCTTGTCACTATCCAGTCTAAGTTCATCATTTGCGTTGCATACTCGTTCGAACTTCCACTAGTTAACCAACAAACAAGTTAATATCTGTAAGTACGACAGTCTCACAACATAAACTGCATGCATATCAGCAACTGTAAGTTTATCTGATCTTATAAAAAACTGTAAGGTCGAAATATCAACAATATCAATAAATATCGACAACATAGATAACTTATCTACAGTTTAAAGTATTTCATTAAAAATTTAGTTAGAGAATAACGTGAAATTTTCATTTCCGTTGGGCCAGAAGAGATTGCTGAACTTCTGGCATTCAGCAGCATCTGCGGCGTCGTCCATTGCCAGGCTTTCATGGATCTGAGTGGCGTTGTGATATGCACCCAAGGTCTTCTTGGTCTTGCTCTTGACCTTCATCTTGGCTTCACGGGGGAAATCCATCAACTCTTTGAAAGCCTCCAACATGGTGCTGCGAAGCTCTTGGGGGACCTTGTCGCCGACTAATGCAATGAAGCAGCCCGTTCCTTCGAGTGCACGGATAATATCTTCGCGTATCCCTAGCCAAGAACTCGACCCCGGCTTCAACTCCTCCTCCTTGGAGAAATCGATCACCGGAATCCCGTTCTCCGATTGCGTAGGCATGGTGTGATTAGCTACTTAATTATGTGTATTTTTTTTCTTTTCACACAAAGTGAGCTACTGTGAGATGCATTTCATTGTGCCGTATATAAAGATCAGCTGCAGCCTCGTCATCACCTAATTAGGGAAGAGATCCATTCCATCAATCTCACTGGATCAAGTGATCCGGGTCTTTGAAATGTCATCTAACGGTAAATCTGTTTTGATCCTTTAAAAGTTATAATAATTTTTAGTCGTTGAATAAAATTTCAAAGATCCAGATTACTTGATCCGGTGACCTTAGTAAAAGAGATCCCGAGATGATCTACTTCCACCTAATTAATATCCGCAAAGATTTTTAAGCGTGTCAAGTGGTATTATACTATCAATCTACTTACTAAAAAAAGAGTAATGTTATTTATACCATGTTTTTGTACCATATTTATATATTATCTTAGGTGGTATCTGATGTGGTCAGACACATCGTTTAAATTAATCAAAATTTTAAATTTAATTAAATATTATTTAATGAACCAATAATTAAGAAAAATTAATTAATTAAATAATAATTATGGTATACAAAAAGTCTTTCTCCTTACTTCTTCTCTCACTTCTTCGCTTTCCCAATCATGTATTCACCCTTTCGACCAAGAAGTTCGCTCCAATGGCGCGGCTCTCACCCACCAATTTTCATGGCTTTCTATGCACAATGAAAGCTGGGTTTTGAGAATTTTCATCATTTGGTGTGCTATTTTTTTACAGTTTTATTCTCTCATTTGAATCCCTATTGAAAAATTTGCAGAACCCACCAAATCTCATGTGTTTCTATACCCAATGAAATCTGGGTTTACAAAGTTTCATGATTTGGCGTGCTTGTTCTGCATGCTTTGTTCTTTGATTAGAATCCCTGTTGAAAAACTTGCAAAACCCACCAAATTCATGGTTTTATGCCCAATGAAAAATATGCAAAACCTATCGGTTGAAAGGGAAGGGGAGGGAAGGAAAAATACTCCTTGTATGCTACAATCATCATTTAATGTATTAATTTTTCTTAATTATTGATTTATTAAATAATGTTAATTAAATTTGAAAATATGATTAATTTAAATAATGTGGCTGTCCACATCAAATGGTGGTACAAAAACATGATATAAATAACATTACACCTTGAAAAATTACTAAACATCATTGTCTTAAAAGCTGACTTTATATATTTTAGTCATTAACTATCTAATTTTCTATGTAAGGACTAATAAAACAATTTACTTAATTATATATTAATTGTGCTGATGTTCGTAGTTTCTAAAATTCCAATAATGCATTTCCAAGGTACGTTGCAACACTTGACTATCCCATGCACAATAATATTTGTTTTGCAGACTTTCAGTCGTGATCATTTCTTGTGCTGATGTTCGTAGTTTTTAAAATACCATAATAGTTTACAGGTACGTACACTCGTGAATCATAGTTGCAGCAGTATGACTAACTATCTCACAAAATAATATTTGTCTTCCAGTCTTGATTTAGGTAGTGATGAGATTGTATAAATTATGAGAAATTCTTATGAGATTTTACCCTGTCTTATACTTAGATAATATCTTGATTAAATTGTAATTCTTATTGGGTACTACTATAAAATATATGCACAATAGGATGAGATCAGACATAACTCTGAATTTCATTAAACTCTCTCTCTCCTCCTTGCCGCACCACCCCTCTATTTCTCTCTTCCTATTTGTCAGTTAAATAGGCCTTACAACACGTTATCAGCACGCTTTAGCCCGACGCTGACATTGACGCTAAGGAATTGAAGGTTCATGGATGAGGTTCTACAAATTCAAGGCTTAATTTCAGTTTTAGCCAATTAGGTTCTCCTACAACACAAGTTTGATATTTTATCTGCATGAAAACATTTCCTATGATGCATGAACCCCTAATTTATATTTTTATACATATATTGTATATTGCATATATTTGTCAATATATATGTTCATGCATACGCAAATGAGATTTAAAATCGATATAACTGGTATGTGAGTTTATTTGTGATCAATCATTTTAGTTATTTTCTGAAAAAAGAAAACCCGTTCAAAGAAAAATAAAATGACAAAAATACTCATAATTTTGGTCAAATCATATTGACCCATTGTTTACTATATTGAGGGTATTTTTGTCATTTTAATTCTTATTTAACATAGATTTTTCATGAAATGACGAAAATAATCAACAGTAAACAAATTTAATGATCACTTCTATCAATTTTAAATATTAGAGATGAAAATAAGAAATTATACCAATCTCAATTACCACTTCTGCCATCTCCTCTCTCTGTCGATAATACTTCATCGGTGATGTAGCATTCTGATAAGACGTAGGCCCTTAGATATTGGTCACGTGCATTAAGCGTGATATAATTAGGAATGGGGCCTGGCCTGACTAATTATTTCTCCAACAGCTTTATAATGCATATATTGTTTGGTTGTCTTTTTCTCTAGTATTTTATTGGAAAAATATTATTGGCACTTCAAAAATCTCATTCTACCTTCCTTATAAGTGTATTTTTCTTTCATAATATAGAAAGTTTAAAATGTAGAATAAGATTTTTAGAATGTTAATAACAATTTCTTTTTATTATATGTAAATATTTTATATCGTGGAGTTTTATGTACGTCGGCTTCAAAGTTCAGCCGACCTCAATTTCGCCCCAACAGAAAAAGTAAAATAAATAAAAGCTGAGGGCTCAGATTTAAATAAAGCCCAACCTAGAAGTTTCAAGTGGACCCTATTTCCGCTGTCATAGCAGGCATACCCAAAGCCCAACTGTGGAATCAACTCAGCCCATATGTTAGCGAATTTGGGCCACGAAATAGCCCATCCAACCCACAGGGCTCAACTCAAAAGAGTAAACGACTAAAATACCCCTCCACATTGTCTGTTTACAAAAACCCTAGCCCTAGCAGAGTCTTGACTCTCACTTGCTCTCCTTTCGTTCGGCCGCTGATCTTCAACAATGGTGAGCTTTCTCTCTCTCTCTCTCTCTCCCCCTCCGTTTCCTGCATCTGAACTAATTTCTGCGCATTTACTTATTTAATCTCGTCAGTAAAATATAGTAATCATTCATTTGAGTGATTAGTGTTTTCTTATTTTCTCTGGACTTGTATTCTTTGTTTTTGTATGAATTTTTTCTTCATTTTACACAAATTAATATATGTTTATGTGTCAATTTATGTCTAAATTTTCAGATTAAATCGATATATAAATTCATTTATTTAATAAATAGATACGTATGCATTGTCGAATCGGCAAAACCGAGTGCAGTTGGTTGATGTTGTTTATGCATTATGGAGTCATTTGCTTAAACACTAATATTTATAGTATCCTTTGTGTTTCTGCTCCATTACCTGTTATATTTACACACACACACACACACACACATATATATATATATATATGAAGTTTTGAGGAATGATTGAACATTTGGTTGAATCATTTGTTATAGCCGTTCGTCAAGTCTCAGAAGTCTAGGGCTTACTTCAAGAGGTTTCAAGTCAAGTATAAGAGAAGGAGAGGTATTTATTTGTTTCATGATAAATTGTTTTTCCATTTCGCAAATTGTTAGTGTGCATATGATCATTTTATATCTGAATGTTGTCCACAGAGGGGAAGACCGACTACCGTGCCAGGATTAGGCTCATTAACCAAGACAAGAACAAGTACAACACACCCAAGTATCGGTTCGTTGTGCGATTTGTATCCTAAAAATTGTCGGCTAGCATTTGAGCCTTCCTAGTTTTACTTTATATTTATGTTTTTGATAAAAATCTTCTTTTAAGTTTTTTTTTACTGTTTCTTTCGTCTGTGGGTAATGAGTTGGAATTTAAGATGGATGCTTTTTCATGTTTGTGCCTTAAATGATTCTTCTTGCATTATATGTGATGTTCCCCTTAACCTGGTTTTTAGACCAACAAGGATATTGTTGCCCAGATTGTATCTGCCAGCATTGCTGGCGATTTGGTTCTCGCTGCAGCCTATGCCCATGAGCTGCCACACTATGGACTTGAAGTTGGTCTGACAAACTATGCAGCAGGTATTTCCACCGTTTGATTTATTTGCTTTCTTCATTCTGGCTCTATACATGTAAGTTCCTCTTGTGGGTTAGTGACAGTATTTTTATGATCAGCCTACTGCACTGGCCTACTCTTGGCTCGTCGTGTGCTGAAGAAGCTTGAAATGGATGACGAATATGAGGGGAATGTTGAGGTAGTGTGTTATTTTTTGTCTATCCAATTTGTTCCCTTTATATCTACTTTTTGTGTGTGTGGCCTTACTAAATAATAATTTGTCTGGTATTTTAGGCAACTGGTGAGGATTATTCTGTAGAGCCAGCTGAGAGCAGGAGGCCATTCCGTGCTCTTCTTGATGTTGGCCTGATCAGGACCACCACAGGAAATCGTGTATTCGGTGCCTTGAAGGTGGGTACCGCATTTAATGCTTATTTATATTTGATGTGGCCAAGTTTTTTTTTTTTTTTTTTAACTTGTCATGATTAATATGTTATTTTGTAGTGTTCTTTCTTTTCACTTTGATGTGAACTTTCTTATACTGATGACAGTTTCTAATTAACGGTTTTGTTATTTTCAGTCGTTAACATTCCTTTCTGTTGTGATTGTCTGTCTGTATAGCAATTTTTTTTTTGTTTTTATCCTTGGAAGCCTTGATTAAAACATTTCTTTGCATGCCTGGTGATGAAATGTATATTGGTTCCTGGTTGTACTTTATTTTTCATATTGCTTCCCATGCTATACAGAACATGGTCTTTTGTTTAATGTAACTGAATTTTTAATCCACTTGGAATGTAGCCTAATCAGTTTAAATAATTTTCAATTGATTATAGGGTGCTTTGGATGGGGGTTTGGATATCCCTCACAGTGAAAAGAGGTTTGCCGGTTTCTCCAAGGATAGCAAGCAACTTGACGCTGAGGTTCATCGCAAGTACATCTATGGTGGCCATGTTGCTGCATACATGACAGTAAGTTGAATATTTATTTCATGCACCAGCATTAACCTGACTGGTCTAGAATAATGATGTCATTTGGTCAAATTTCTATATGTTTGTTTCTGAACTGGGCGTTGAGTTCAGAATTCTTGTCAGGCATTCTCATCGCTGAATATTTAAACTGTTTTTCTTGAACTTATGATTGTTTGATTTTAGACTTTGGCGGATGATGAGCCGGAGAAATACCAGAGTCACTTCAGTGAATATATTAAGAAAGGTATTGAAGCGGATAACATCGAAGAGCTGTACAAGAAAGTTCATGCTGCCATCCGTGCTGATCCTACAATTAAGAAGACTGAGAAGCCAGCTCCTCAAGAGCACAAGAGGTAAAGTTTGATTGATTGCTCTACTCAGTTGATGTTTTAAATTGTGCCCTAGTTTCATGCATTTAAATTAACAAATCACATTGTAGGGGCGAGTATTTGTAGAGTCTTCTTGCTCAGTAGGAAGTAGTCATCAAATGATTTGAATTTTCATTTGTGTAACAGGTACAACCTCAAGAAGCTTACCTTTGACGAGAGGAAGAAGAAGTTGGTTGAGAGGTTGAAGGCCTTCAATGAAGCTGGTAACGATGAAAACAGTGACGATGATGATGAGTACTAAGCATTTAATGGGATTTGTGCTCTAGTTTGTTTCCTCCCTAGGACATCTGTTTAAGTATTCTCGATAAAATCTTTTATCTTTATAATTCAGACATTTGAAGAATATGTTTCTTGTTTCGAGGTTCGAGTTAGAAGCGCTACTAAAGTTTTGACAATGTTATGAAAGTTATTTTTTGTTTGGCTATCCAAGTTTTCTAGTTACCAAATCTTTTATTGCATTTTTTTTTTGTTTTTTTTTTTTTTTTTGATAGCGTGGTAGTGGGGATATAAAGCTTTATGTATCTTCTTTTAAAACCATGAATTTTATGCTCATGTGGTTTTATTTTCTCTTGCTTTCATTTCTTTCTTAGTGAGGTTTCCTCAACTTGTTCCGGAACAGTTAGGTCCTATTTGATAGTCCTAATTGTCAGGGAAAAATGGTCATGTAAATTGTGACCAAAACTGTATTTTACACAAAACTAGAAAAGAAATAGTTATTGAATGGATCTTGGATCTATATCCGATGTTGGTACAACTCGCAATTTTTGTGGTTTTTATTTGGAAGAGAGCCGATGGGCCTAGGGAATCCCGGCCATTCAAGAGAGAGTTTTGTGCCATTCAAGAGGTGGACCAATGAGACAGACTAATAAGGGCTGTAGGAAATTGAGTAGTTTGAATTTCTCGATCCGTCGGCTTAGGGCACAAAAATGTGGAGATTATCTGATTCGAATTTGGTATCAAAAGCTCAAAGAAGTGACAATCTATATTTTAGTTCATTCACCTAGTCATAGGTACGACTGATCCGATTCACCTATTCAGATCATTTTTGGATAAGCTTTTCTTTCTCTTAACTTGGACTAGGTGAATGGATCGGTCATGTACGTTCAAGTTTCTAAAGGTTTAGAATCCAATAATATTTTCCGATGCGTATTATATTTCGGTTTATACTAGAAAAACCCACGGAGGAATGGTATATGCCGTATTCCCGAATCTTTGATGCGATTGTGGACTCAGTTGAGTCAATAGTGACACAGATGAAGTTCACGTTTTTGCTTACGAAACAAAGAAAGGGAAGGGATGGTGTTGATGAAAGGCAGCAAATCAGCCACCCTATAGACGTGGTGGGCCCACAAAACCTTATCTAGTGGCAACCAATGATCTTGTATTCTCAATGACAACTAAATCTTCATATTTCCGCATGAGATTTTCCCCACATCTTCACTATTGACAAGAAGAGTACAGCATATTTTACGAGTGACGGAGATTATGGCGCATCCACTTGCGTCACCGCCACCTACCACCGCCGCAGCAGCAACAATCTCAACAGCGGCAACTGACAAGACTACGCGTTACCGGTCAGTTGGTTTCCGAATTGTCAGGGCTTCCCATCAAGCTTCCGATGACCCCCATGCCGCGAACAATAATCTCGTTAACCGCAGGTTAGGTATTTGATTATACATTCATGCCACCATCTATGGATAATGCACATCTAAATGGAAATAACAGTTTGACAAAAATGCAATACTAACTCGTTAAAATCGCGTCAAATTTAGGATTTGTCTACAAAGAAAATGACTTGTTATTACATTTAAAAGAGTCGGGCATTTTCATTATGAATATGTTTTCGTGACAAGCTAGTGTGATGTGGGGTTTATGGTGCAGGACTGTGGGTTTGGGTTTGGCGGCTGCTGCTCTGAGCTTCAATGTGAGTAACCCAAATTCAAGTGCAAATGCGGCAGCCAGGAGGCCTCCACCGCCTCCGGCGGAGGAGAAGGAGAAAAAGGACCCTAATGTGAGTGGTGTTTTAGCAAAAGTGCTAGCAAGCAAAAAGAGGAAGGAGGCCATGAAACAATCGGTGGCCAAGCTAAGAGACAAAGGGAAGCCTATCCAAGAGCCATCTGAATAGTTTCTTTCTTTCTGAAATTAAGTAGCGCACTTTGGAATTGTTTGTCAGTCTTCCTTCCTCTTGAGCTACCAATTCTATTTCCAATATTTGATAGGGCGCACGTTCTGTTGGAGATTCAAACCTAAAACCTCAAGTTTAAAAGTAATGTCTCCTTAACAATTTGAGCTATGAATCTCGTATGCACGTGCTTATTAGTACCACAAAATTACTTTTGTCATTAAATTATGTGGAATTAAAAGTTGAAGCTAAAGCATCTATTGCATATGAAGATCCCGCATGTGCCTGGCCGTAGTCTGATTCTTCAATAGAGCTTGCCCCGTCATGATAACCACAACTTCAAACACAAGGCGGGGCAGGGGCACCATAACCGGAATATATATGGATAATGAGGGTGGTTATAAGTTTGTGGCGGCTGCGGTATATGGATAACCGGCACTTCCATAATCTCCAACAGCACCCAAAACTTCCATACCAAGCAGAAGTATGAATAGGGCAAGTAGGGCATAAGGAAGAGCAAGCTACATGAGCTGCATAACCGTAAAAACGACAAAAGCATGCACAAAGGCAACGAACAAATGCCCTAACAAAGAGAACGAGACAACTACTAATTTGTAAATGAATCATGACTTTCTTGTTTAATGGAGATTAAGATAGTGTAGTTCTATGAAAAATTATAAAGAAATACGTTGAAATAATTTGCACTAAATTCATGTAAAGAAGATTTGAGCAATATGCCAACTTAATAAAGTTTATTAGAGATTACAGATCCATAAATTGCTTGTGGAATCAAATTCAACACTAACAATTCATTTCGTGTTGCAGCTGCTGACTATAATTATTTTTTAGATCCTCTTGTCTTTTGCATGTAGAGAGTTACTTTCAAGATTTTGACAATGTAATCTTTGGCATGTCTACCAAAAAAAGAATTTTGTGGCGGATAGTTTAACGACTTATAATCTTAATTGGATTTAGGCAAATTTTACTTTGATATCCTCCTTGTTCAGTTTTTTTTTTTTCCTGAGAATCGACTTTAGATGTTCCGGCCTAAATTTAATATTGATTAGTTTTGTTTGGGCAAACCCATTTTTCAAACAAAAAATGATTACATTCAATTATTGTCCTTCAAATTGACATTAATTAAACTCAATTGACAATCTATTCGACGGAAGACCTACTATTTTGTTGCATGATTTTAGATAAATGTTGAAAATTAGAGATTTCGTTAACATGTGTTTGACAAAATGGATACAACACAACACCAAAAAAAAAAAAACAAAAACAAAAACAAAAACAAAGCCAACAGAAGATAGACACAACGCATGAACACATAAGCAAAACTGTTGGATTTAATTCCACAGGTCTAGCTCCCATAAAATCAAAATCTCTCTCTCTCTCTCTCTCTCTCTCTCTCCCTTTCTTCTTCTTCTTGTTAACTAATTAGGGCCGAGGGCCTGAGCTTCTCAACAGCCATTACTACAACCAACCCAAACGGCAAAATCTCAGAAAACATAAAGCAGAGAAGAGGACTCGATTTCAGAAATGGAGGGAGGAGGGCGATCGGCGGACACGATGATGTCAGAGGCGGCGCCACCGTCGCAACCGGATCCTAACCACCCACAGCAACATCGTCCACCGCCACATCAGGCGATGGGGGGAGTGGAGAGCATTCCGGCCACGCTCAGCCACGGCGGCCGATTCATTCAGTACAATATCTTCGGCAACGTCTTTGAGGTCACCGCCAAGTACAAGCCCCCCATCATGCCCATCGGTAAAGGCGCATACGGCATCGTTTGGTCTGTATCTCCCCTCTCTCTCTCTTCATTCCTCCATTTCTTCATTTTTTTTGTTCAAATTTTCTGTCTTTGTGATAGGAAAATGCAAAAGATTCATCATTTTTGGGGAAAACTAAATTTGATTGAAATTTGAATGATTGATTAATCGTGAGAAATTGCAAAACTAATAGCTCGGCTCTGAATTCGGAGACGAACGAGCACGTTGCGGTGAAGAAGATTGCGAATGCATTCGACAACAGGATCGATGCGAAGAGGACGCTGAGAGAGATCAAGCTGCTGCGGCATATGGATCATGAGAATGTTGTTGCAATTCGGGATATAATCCCTCCGCCGCAGAGGAACTTCTTCAATGATGTTTACATTGCGTATGAGCTCATGGACACTGACCTCCATCAAATCATTCGATCCAATCAAGCTCTATCCGAGGAGCACTGTCAGGTTCTGGCTCGTCTTCTACTCTTCTAAATTCTCACATTTTTGGTATTTTGCTCGAAACTAAAGACAATTTCTTTACTTGTAACTAAAGTCATACTTGATAAGAGTGTGTTGGTATTCCATGTGAATTGATTCATTTATGCATTTTCGGGTTATAAATCTGAAAAAGGCAAGTGCTTTGCCGTATTTGCGTGTTTTTCTTGACAATTTGGACAATTGTGGCACGACAAATTGTTCCTCTCGATGTTCTCATTGATAAAGATAAAAAATGATTGGAGAAAATTGACCAAGAGGAAAGTTTTGGTTTGTAATAATAATTCTCGAGCAACCTTGAAAATAAAGATTAGACATTAAGCTTCTTTCCTTTTCAGCTACACCGGTTGTTTTCCATGGAGAATTGGTTTCAAGATTAGTTTTATGTACTTCTTATCAGACTTCCTTATATTTGTATTGTGCCCCATCAAAGCTGTGTATTTTATGCAACTTAGATGACCTATGGCTCTTTGAGCACCTAATCAGCAAGTTGCGTAATAAGATGAACCAAACTCTCCCCTCCCTCTCTTTTCTCCCATTACATTTGGTCTGTTCAACTTGGAGTCTCCTGCTTCTATAAATTCATAATCTTTTTATTACTTATTATTATTTCACTGAAGATCTAATAATTACTCTTTTTTTTTTCTTTTTCTTTTTTCGGTGTATGCAGTATTTCTTATATCAGATCCTCCGAGGATTGAAATACATTCACTCTGCAAATGTTCTGCACAGGGACTTAAAACCTAGCAATCTTCTCCTAAATGCCAATTGTGACTTAAAAATATGTGATTTTGGACTAGCTCGAGTCACCTCGGAGACTGATTTTATGACCGAGTATGTTGTTACCAGATGGTACCGTGCCCCAGAGCTACTGTTAAACTCTTCAGATTACACTGCAGCTATTGATGTATGGTCAGTAGGTTGTGTATTTATGGAATTGATGGATAGGAAGCCGTTATTTCCTGGCAGAGATCATGTGCATCAGCTTCGTCTGCTTATGGAGGTATCTTAGTTATGTTTGCTTGGTTTGTTTCTGCAAACCTAGGATCATATGATGGACAAAACAATATCGTCATCATTCTTATTATTATAACTGTTTTATCACAGTACAGGGTCCTTGAATAGCATGTTGGCTCCTCCATGCCATATTTATGTTACACTTAGACGTGAATAATAAGAATAACATGTCTCACACTTTGGACCATTCCATGACGATGTGGAATTGGAAATTAGAATCTCCATGTTACTAAAATTGTACATTTGTAGTGTAGATATCTATGAATCAGTGTGATTAATCTTCAGAAACCTTGCAGCTGATTGGCACCCCATCAGAGGCTGAGCTGCAATTTCTAAATGAAAATGCGAAGAGATACATTCGGCAGCTTCCTCTCTACCGTCGACAGTCATTTACTGAGAAGTTTCCTCACGTCCATCCTTCAGCAATTGATCTTGTTGAAAAGATGTTGACATTTGATCCTACTCGGAGAATTACTGGTAAGTTGCCTTTACTAAAATGTTCACAAGTCTGAGTAAAAATAGTCACAGTTTCCCCTACTTCTTATGTGCTTTATTGACTCGGAATAACTTGTTGCTGACTCCCATTTAGTATGTCATCTTCATGTGTAGTAAAGTTGAGTACTCCCACATTAGTGTTGCCTTGATTATTTTAGCCACCTTAACTGAATATGTTTGCTTGTTCAAACAATGAAGTCAATAAATCACAAAATAGGAGTGTTAGAAAACATCTGTTTTTGGATATCATTTAAAAAAGAAAAAAATTATCTCTAAGAGTTCATTTAAGGGCGATGAAGGTTTCTCATTCCCCCTCAACCACCCTTCCGCTAAACTACAACCAAATCCAACGATCAAGCATATGGGTTAATCTTCATACTCCCCGTTATTCTCTATTCTACAGAACTTCCCAAGTTTCATTACTGATGTTTGGATCTGCCATCAGATAATAGAATTGGGGTGGTGCTATACACACATCCCCTTCTTCCTTCAACACACCCTCTCAATTTCCGGCAATCGGATTGAATGAATTGAAGAGGATCAAAGGACAGAAATTAACAGGGAGCGTGTGGAAGGTAAAAAGGGGGGGGTGTGGATGGCGCCACCGTAGAGTTGTAGCAATGAACAGTTTCCCAACTTCTTAGGCTTGGGATGTCAGCTTCCCACTGACTTTAGGTTATTTGTTGTGTGGGTATGATCACCTCCAGAGAATGACGCTTTGGTAGTAGTTCTTACCTTTCATTTGGTCATCCATGGAAATCGGCCTTTTCACCTTCTAACACCTTATAGTCGTGTGTTCATCTCAAATTTTGAGGCTTTTCCTTGCTCTTCCAATACTGGACATCATTGCCGTCAAAAACTTTAACCCTATATAGAATATCTGTTACAAAACCACGTGTGGGAAGTCTTGCATTCAATTTGGTATTTCTTCCCTAACTACAGTTTTGCTCGCGCTGCAGTTGAAGATGCCCTAGCTCACCCCTATTTAACATCTCTCCATGACATCAGCGATGAGCCTGTTTGCATGACTCCCTTCAGCTTCGACTTTGAGCAGCATGCACTCACTGAGGAACAGATGAAAGAGCTGATCTACCGAGAGGCACTTGCATTTAACCCCGAGTATCAGCGACTGTGAGGAATTTGCTATTTTATTCACGTGGATTTTCATATATGTGATCTCGAGGTTCCATCTGTTCAGTGATCGGGATTGATTTTTCATGTAAATATGTTCCATCCGAGAGTGGAAGGTTCTAGATTCGAATTATTGATTATCTGTATCGGCTAGTTTTGATTTCTGTTTGTCTAATTATTGAATTGAGCATAATGCTGATGAATTAATATTTTCTTGAACACATTTCCAAAAGCTTGAGAATCAATAAAGATCTCCGATCTGTGTTGTTGTTGTTTCATCTGATCGTATTCATGTGCCTTCGTTTTTCTTGTCCATTTCCAGCCGTAAATCTGTGCTGGCATTCCCTTCGACCTGGATTGCACATAGGCTGTGTAGGACGAAGCCGGAATGCCAGAAGCCGACGTCCATTTATGAGCCGAATGAGATGAATATATAACAAAAAGGGGTACACGAATTCTTTTCGAACAAGTGAATATACCGAATGAGATGAATAAAACGAAACTATCTCCTCTACCAAAGAAACCTCACCAGTGCTAACTGCTGAGGCAACTAAATATATCATCTTAGCGAAACAAATGGATTCTTGCAGGCAAGAAGAAGACAATAAAGAACAAACTCATCTCCTACTGTACGAAGATACACAACAGTAGCTCATCTGATCCCGTTAGGTCTTCGCATTCCCGAAGAATCTTGAAAGTGGCACGGGACCATCAGCCTCGTCATCGCCACTGCTCGAGTGTTTGGTCTTTGACCTGTGCTTCTTTTCCTTCTTTGTTCTCTTGGACCTGGACTTGGATCGTCTCGATTCTTGGTCTTCGTCTTCACTGCTGGAAGAATCTGAGGATGAGCTCGAGGAGCTAGACTTTGAAGATCTCCTTCTTGAATGCTACAAAGCACAAAGTAAGAGGAAAATATTAAACCACTTAAACAAGCACAACTACAAAAAAAATTAAAAATTAAAAATTAAAAATAAAAATAAAAAAATTGTGGGCAGTGGGCACCTTTCTCTTTCTGCTGCTGCTGCGTTTCTTTAAATCTTTATCCTTCCTATCTGCGAGGACACATATTCACCTTCAGAAAAGAGGCTAGTAGAGACGAGGAATAGTTTGTGTTTACATTCCATGTCCATGACACCCACCTTTCTTGCGATCAGACTTACTACTAGAGTGGTTTCTTCCATTGGCAAGCTTGCGAGCCCTTTCGGCATCCAGTTGAGCTCTGTATTCTCTCATCATTCTATCGGTATCCTTCTCCAGTTCTCCCTTTCTAATTTCATCTTCCTAGTGCAGCAATACATTAAAATTGACTGAAAATTTGCACGTAATGAAGAAGACTACAGATGCAGAAAGCTTTTGAAAAAAATGAATGGTAGCAAGTAGACAATACAACCATGTTACGACAGAGTAGGAAGATAAAATATTAGAGCAAATATCAGTTGAGAATTAGCTCAACCCAAACATTTCTAAATGCGAAATGCTAGGCCTAAGTAGTCGGGACTACAGGCCAATATCAACGACAACATCCTCATCCTTCTATCTTCCAAATCCAAATGCATCAGATCATGTAACTTACTATCAGGCATAATCAGAAACTCAATTAACATGTTCCTTCTACAACACATGATATCAAGAAGGTAACACAGCAGCAGAAATAGATAGAGGAAAGTCCAAAGCAGAAAAGAATACCTTTTGCTTCTGTTTATACTCCTCCCAGGTAATTGTGTGAGAAGTTTTGAGGCTAGCCAAACGAGCAGCATGCCACTCTGGTGAATGAAATGAACCATCCATCTGCGACAGTCCTCATCAGTGAAAGTACAGGTGGATCCAAGTATTATATTGGATTATCGAGTCAATTCTCTAATAGAAAGATGATACATACTTACATTTCACCAAATGTTTACCCTAAAACCTTAATATGGTACCCTACTTGAAATTGACACGAATTTCACTGTGCAGTATACCGATAGAAGTAAAATATTTATGTGGGTGACGTGGTATGGGAATCAGAAATGTGCCCCATCTGACGATAACTCTTTCGGTGTTTAAAGTCTTATACATGAGTGGCATCTAATTACAGAAGTTTAGTTTCTTTAGATAGATTAATCATTATCATGAATCTGATAGAGGTACTCCACAAACTGTATAATTGCTCACACCAGTCCCATCAATTGTGAGAAAACCAACAACATCCACCTTACGAGTTAGGCTGCTAAAGACACCGATCTCCAAAAGCTCGTCGTTCATCAACATCCTTTTAACACATACAAGAGTTATGGATTATGGAGGATGCACCATTATCATAACCCATAACTCCATATCTATGAACCTATGCTAACCATAGTCGAACTAGAGTGGTGATAAAGCATCTAAATTTACAAGTAGATGGTATTCAACACTCCACACGAGATACGACACAAACAATTCCTTTTAACGAACACCACATAATCGTAGAATGTCAGATAATATAACCACAAATTCAGTAAACAGTAAACAATTACAACACACCCGTTAAGAACCAAGATCGAATCTTTTCAACAAGGTTTCCTTAGAAATCACATATTCCATTGCACAGTAAGCAGTTCATCGAGAAAACTAAAAGCAGGCAACTGAATTCGAATGCAAATAAATAGCAGAATTGAAGAATGGGGGAGAAAATTGAAACTAGTGAGGTAGTGTGGAAGGGTACAAACCATGCCGTCTTCAACCTCATCAGGGCCAGCAGAGCTGGAGCCGAGCCTGGATCTCTGCATAGCCTTGTAAGCTTGATTTTTGCCCATTTGGAAAGAGACCCAGATGAGAAAATCAATCAATCAAAAAGATACGACTAGAGTATCCGCGGAGGACAACCCATGTACCGAAATCGAGAGAATTTAGGAACAGCTAGAAGAAACGAGGAGGTTGGGTTTGGGTTTTCCAAAGAGGTGTGGCTGTTGCTCCTCGTCGTATGAATTTGGTTATACAATCACAAGGTGAGGCTGTCAGGACGAGGCCAGCAGTTCTGTCAAAGAAACAACGACTATCACGTGTTCGACCTTAGAGATTTAGATGACGTGTTCGATCTTGATTCGTCTGGCTAGAAGTTAATAATATAAACACACACACACCAACGGGAAATTTTTAGTTGTAACAGAAACACGGATGATACACCACGTGTTTTTATGTAAGTGGTGAAAAATTTTAATTTTTAAGTTATTAACTTTTTAACATACATATCTCAGCATATAATACGTTATGTACTATCTCGTATGACGGTCACATTGAAAAATATCGCCAAACCAACAATGGATGACTCATCGTGCTTTTTCCAAAGAATAAAGCTAACTCCTCCGGTTATCAATCTATCAAACTTCATCTTATTTAAATTTAAATTACATATTAATAAAATTCTTTTAAATAAAAAGATAGTGAAAAAATTATTTAATTTTTGATCATAATAGAAAAATTAAGAATAATAATGTAATTTTTCAAAATAAAAGTTTACTGTTTTTTTATTTAAAACATCACATTTTAACAACTCTAATTTTAAAAACTAAAAAAAAAAAAAAAAAACAAAATTAAACCTATCCTGCCCTCTCACTTTCTTCCTCTCTTCTTCAATTTTAAACAAAAATAAAACATTTCACATACACTTTATGTGTGGGCATATACTAGTATAATTTAAAATTTTGATCTCTCCACCATTTTTTTGTCTAAAATAAAGAAAATATATAACTTATTTGAACATCTCACAATTTTCCGCTTTATGAGGATCTGGGGACGTTTATAACACGTAGGGATGGCAACGGGGCGGATTGGATTCAGATGTGTCATCCCCATACCTAAACCCGTTTATTTTACCCAAACCCGAACCCATGGAATCCCCGAACGGTTTTTCCCATAACCAAACCCATTGGATGACGGATTTGTGATCGGGGAACAGTTTTCCCCGTTATGATATCTATATATTTATTTATATTATTAACTTGTACAAGTTTTCAAAAACTAGCATCACATCACTATTGGGCGCATTGCACCCTCTGAGCACCACCAGGCATGTCATCATCCTCATCATAGGCCTCTTGCTAAGCCTGCTGCTGCTTCCTCCTCATCTCCTCCTCCATGTTCACATCATGCAAAGTCGTCTCCTCACACTCGTTCACCTCCATATCTGTCAGGCTTCAATGCATGATTATTAACAATCCCTTTTCATATAATAAATATTTATCTTCTTTTTTTATTCATAGATGAAATGGTTCGGTTTCAGGTATGGGTTTGGGGCGAATACCCCAAATAACCATAATCAAATCTGAAACCGAAAAATTTACCCGACAGTTACCCATAATAGTAAAATACTTGAAATTTTATGCCCGAAACCGAACCATTTGGATCAGTTACTTGTGGGAATCGGATTTGACGGGTTAAATTACCATCCCTAGTAACACGCAATCTTATTCATACTTTGCAAAGAGGTTGTTTTCATGACTTAAACCCGTGACATTTTAGTCACACAAAAAGCAATATTTTCGTTGCTCGAAAACTCACCCCTTGATTAAATTTCTAGTATGGAAAACCAAAAATTAAAAAAGAAAATGTTAGCGAGGTCAAGAACTTAGCCATAACGATACTTCGTCGGCCATGCTTCTCTAAAATGTCTTACATGAATTTAAATATGCTTATGATGACACGACATTGGCAAGAAAATAAGCCTTATGATCCTCTCTACATTAAGTAAGGTTAATTTTGATATATTCTTAATTGTGTCCGAGTATCAAGTAGAAAATTAAAATTGATTAAAGGCGGACAGCGAAATTGGTATTTGCCAAGTTGGGCTCTAAACAGGCTGTATATAATGCGAAGAAACCTGATGGGCTGTCTTCGGTTTGGACTTGAGCAGTTAATAGTGGGCCTCCAAATTTTTTCTTATGTGTAAATAATCTTTTAGAATGACCTAAATTTATTTTAAGAAACATGTGGTGTGACGAGAATGACTCGAATTTTCACTTATAATTAATCTTGTAAAAATTCTCAAAGTTGATTTGAAAACATGGGTTATAAGTTATAACTCACAATTTTTGTAAAAAAAAAAAATTTAAAATTTTAGTTTTAAGAAATATTTAGTGTGGTAACTAAGGAAAATGTTGCAAAACCTTTCAATGTGATCCTACCATTTATTAGATCCTGAAAATACTTTTTTATTGATTTTTAAAGTTGAAAAATAGAAAAAATAATAATATAAACTAAAAGTATGCCCCCCAAATATTTTTTTTGTGTCGAAAATCTTTGGAATGTCCTATATTGATTTTAGGAAACATGTGGAGCGACGACAACGACTCGAATTTTTGCTTATAATTAATCTTGTAAAAATTCTCAACATCGATTTGTAAATGTGGGTTATAACTCACAGTTTTTGTGAAAAAAAAATTGAAATTTTTGGGTTTAGGAAATATTTTGCATAGGAGCTAAGGAGAATTTTGCTAAATCTTTGGATATAATCCTACCATTTATTAGGTCCTAAACTATTGTTTATTGATTTTTAGATTAGAAAATTAGAAGAATAATATAAACAAATAGTCGCCCCTAAAGTTTATTTTTTATTTTTCGGAAATCTTCGGAACGTCTTAGATTATTTAATTTTCAAATTTAATCTACAAATTTAATTTATCTAGCGTTACTCTTCATCTTAAGTTAAAAAAAGTAGCATAATACATGTAGAAAAAGAATAATATTATTCATAACATGTTTTTATATCACATTTATATACCATCTTAGATGACATCTGATGTGGACAGTCACATTATTTGAATTAATCAGTTTTACAAATTTTTCAAATGATATGGTTGTCCACATCAAATGATACCTAAATGATATGAAAATGTGGTACAAAACATAATATGAATAACAAAAAGTCCTTGCTGGATGTACGTGTCAGCACTTTGTTTTGCTGTAAATTAAAATAGGTACACAAGACAATGATGGCATATCAAGAGATCCAAACATGAAACCTTGTTTGTGAATTGCGAGAGGAATACTAATACAAGATATCACCGTAACACGGTGAAATTTGACATTTTCCGTAAGAGAGGCTGAAGGAGATTGTATTGGGAATTTGTGAGCAAGCAAAGTTAAATATTTGTTGACAGTTTTACGGCTGCGGGAGAATAATTCTCTTTATCAGTTTGTGCGTGGCATGGCAGACTCTCCACAGAGAGACAGGGCACGAGCCTCCTAAAAACGACGCGTTTCGGGTTCTCAGGACAGGACGTCTGTGCGAGGTAAAGGAGGTCCTTGTTAATACACGGGTTGGCCAAATTGTCAATGCGTGAACCACGGGTTTGCACTGTGCCATGCATCCACTCGCACGCTTATATATATATATATATATATATAAAGGTTTGTACGGCTTGGCGACCTCTCCAAACCAGAGTCCATGCATACCTAATTGTGAAGGACATCAAAAGCTTTTAATTTTGGAAGTTTTAACAAAATACTTACGGTATTATTAACTTTTAATAAAAAATTATATTTTTATTTTTTTATTACTATTCATTACACCTTTATTTGTCATTTTTCATTAAAATTAAAGTTTTTTTGAATTTTTCGTTAGTTTTCCTTTTAATTTTCCTATAACCTTCTATTTTTGTTTTATTTTAGGATGGTATTAAAGATACATTAGCAAAGAAAAATTTAATTGGGTAATACTCCTTAAAAGAGAGATTTATCAGTGTGTTTAGCACTCGCCCAAATACATTAAATGCAATAATACAATTGATTCAAGATTCTAAATTTTTTTATAACTAATTGTATTATAACACACAGCCAAACCTTTTTTTATAACATTTCTCCACTTTAAAGTTTAAACGAAGATAGGACCCCACTCCGCTCGATGATTTACTTGATTTCTGGATAAAAATTAGATATTGTAAAGCCTGATTAAGTTATCATCAAAGGTAGATTTATAAAAGAAAAGTTTTGGTAATCATTACATTTCCACGGTGATGCAAGAATCATTTCAAATCCATATGAAAAAGAGACATTATTTTAGGGTCAAACGTGAATAAAAATGACTTTTTGTAACGCCAAAAAAATATTGAATATTCAAAAACCAAAAGGCCTCTTAGCCATCTCCTACCAAAAGACGCCGCTGAATAATGTAAAAAGATTAAATTTTTAGACTAAGTTTTATAAATTATATGATGTAGTTGTTATGAATTAAATTACTATTTAAGAAGGAGTGTTATCTATATACTTATTTTTACTTCTCACACATCTTTAATCTGTTTTCGGCAATCAGATTAAATGAATTAAAGAAGTTCAATGACAAAAGGTTAACAATCTTTATTTAAGTGTTGACTAACTTGCATATTTTATATGGAGTAGGATTTTCTCCCCTCTTGTTTTCCCTCCCATTCCCTCCCTTCTATTTGAACAATTACAGTTAAACTATGTCAACATTTTATATTAATTTTTTATAGAAAGAAAAAGACAAAGTAGAGAATGTGAAAGATGGGGATAGAAGGGATAAAAAACAGAAGAAGAGATAATTCTAGTCTATTTTATATTGGACATATCACATTTTAAAATTTTATCCGAAAATTTGATTTACCTAGTATTATTCTGAGCATATGTACTACCTAGCCTCTAGGCAGCACCCAATGAAATTGTCTCATCGAACGAGGATCCTCTCAGATCCTTTTTGTGAGGATCCTAGAGATCCTTTAATCATATCTGTTCATCATACATTGTATGGTTAGTTTTCGTCAGGTACTATTTATATTTAATTTTAAGTAAAAAAATTTACAATAATTTCTGATCGCACAATATACGATGAATGAATGTGATTGGAGAATCTTCGAGATCCTCACAAAGAGGATCCGGGATCCTCATTCCTCTCATCTCCTATTCTCCTCCCATTTTTTCACCTTTTTCCTTTACTTTTTTTCTATAAATATATTAATATAAAATGTTAAAGTGACTTAATCGTGCCAGTTTAAATAGAATGGAAGAGATAAAAAAAAAAAAGAAAATCCTACTCCTTTAAAAACGTCCCCACGCACTAAAAATCCGTGGGACCCCCTCACCCCCTTTTTTAAGGCTTTTTCTTTCTATTTTTTTCACTAAAAATCCTACTCCTTTAAAAACGTCCCCACACACTAAATTTTTTACAACTTTTTCACAAGTTGTTAGACCTTGTGCTAAAATTCTACTTGCTCTGCAGTACTCTGTACTCTCGATGATTTAAGGGTTAAAATTTCCTATATATAAAAGAAAAAGATAATTTGAAGTATTCTAAGACCATCTCCAACAATGGGCTAAATGCCAAATTTCCCCCCAAATTTCCCCCCCAAACCATCTCCAACCCATGCTAAAACATTGGGCTAAATGCCAAATGTTAAAGTTGGGCCAAATTCCCCCCAAAATTCCCCCCCCGCGCGACTGGACTCGCTGGCCCAAAGGCCAGTCTCGGCCCGTTCACTCGCGTACGCGCCCCACGCGGTGCGCTTGCAGACGTTGCCCGACAAGGTGGGCCCCGCTGTCAGCGGGTTGTCGGCCACCCAGCTGAAGTCCAACGGCTATTTTTGCAATCCAACGGATGTGTTTCAAGGACCGTTGGTTGATCCAACGGTCCAAATTCAAATTTGATTTTTTAAAATATGTTATTTTAAAATACATTGAATCCAACGGCTGAGATCAAATATAATCAAATCTAACGGTAAAAAAAAAGATCTAACGGCCCAAATTTAAATCTAACGGTTAAAATAATTAAAAAAAAATATTTAACTCAAAATTCACCCAAAAACTCTATAAATACCTATGTATTTGTTCAAACATCCACACAAAACTCAAATTTCTCTTACAATTCTTCCAATTTATCTTTCCACCATTTCTTTCCATTTCCAAATTGTTCAACATGGCAAGAGAGCATATTAGAGGTCGTAATTGGACTTGTGAGGAAGATGTTGCTCTATGCTTGGCATGGGTTTCTGTTAGCGAAGATGGTGCAGTTGGCACTAATCAAAATAAGAAGGTTTTGTGGGATAAAATCATTGCAAAGTTTCAAGAAAACTGCAATGGTAGTAGGCGGGATGGTGGTGGTGTTTATGATCGATGGAAGACTATCAACAAAGCATGCACTTTATGGAAGGGAAGCTTGGAGAGAGCCGTGGTTGGCATGGCTAGTGGGAGGAGCGCCATAGAAATTGTGAGTTTTGTTCTTGATATTTTATTTGTCATGTACATAATATTATGTTGCAACTAATTATGCCACTCCCAATGCATACAATCGAGACTTCCTATCATGCCAGGGAAGCCTCTTTTTTCTGCCTTGCGTAGAAGCCTCTTCAAGTCTGCACGATTTGGGTTGCGGAGGTATGTGGCTCCATATATGCCTTCAATTGCCTTACAGAAGCGCTTCAGGTTCTCAATAGCAGTACTTTCTGCAAGGCGGCAATACTCGTCAGTTGAGTCTGCAGAGCATCCATTAGCTAGCATGCGAAAAGCAGATGTGAGCTTCTGATGAGGTGATAGACCTTGTCGGCCGGTGGCATCTACCCTCCGTTCAAAGTATTGGTCATGATTGACAACTGCATTCAAGATGCTTTCAAAAAGCTCTCTCCTCATCCGAAACCGCCTCCGAAAATCATGAGCATGAAATCTCGGACGCTCGATGAAATAATCTTTCATCATTCGATCATGACACTCTTCTCTATCACGCTGCACATATGAACGCCCCGTGACAGAACCACGATGGCTAGATTCGCCATTGTGCTCAGATTGCATAAACGAGTTGAATAGTTCAACTTCAGCATTGAACAATTCTGCATCCTCAATCTCCATCCTTGCTTGGTATTGTGCCATCTGCATTGCCATACTACGCCTTCTTCTATCACCCATTGATGAGATATTGAGGATTTTTAGGAAACAAAAACTCTTTGAAAGTTGAAAATGGGTGAATATAAATGATGATTGAAGGTTGAAAGGTTGTGTGATCAACAAATATTGGACATATGTTTATATAGAGGATGATTTCTGAAAGTTTGGTGGTGAATGGTTGGTTGAAAGTTTGGTGTTTATATAGTTGGTGAAAGTTGAAAGTTTGGTGTTTATATAGTTGGTGAAAGTTGAAAGTGTGGTGTTCAACGGTTGGTGAATTGAAAATTTGGTGTTCAAAGTTTGGTGAATTGAAAGTACAGGTTGAAAGATTAAAGTGACGGCTTGCTTTTGAATTTGTGATTTTTCAATTTATCTGATTTAAATTTTTTTAGTTAATGTTCATTAATTTACGATGTCTACATATTTCTTTTTTACTTATTTTTGCATAAGTTAATTCTTTAATTTTAAATTTTAGCCTAGACAGCAGACGTTTCTGGCTAAAGCTAAATTTTCCGGACTAAAAAACTTTTAGAATGGAGATGGTCTAAAAAATTCACTGAACTTTGAGGTTTGAGCTGTGAAAAGAAGATAAAAGTAAAAACTTTACATTTTGGCTTTTAATTTTACATTCAGTCCTCATATTATGTTTTCTTTTTCCTCCTCCATCACATTTTTCATTTTATTTTTACTATATAAAAATTTAAAACAAAAAATTAACGTAACTTAATTTTAATTATTTAAATATATATATAATAAAATAAAATAAAAGAGAGATAACCTACACCGTACTCTCATGACTGTGTTTGTTGTGGTGTGATAATTGTAAGAATCTTTCACACAGTGACACAGGCAAAACAAAACTCCATATCCCAATAAAAACACAGCATTCTGTCTGTCACAAATTTTAACGCCTCACTCTCTCTCTCTCCTCTCTCCCGCTCCCACTTCAAGATATCATCTTTACCTTTCTTCTCTAAGTTCACACGCTCAGAATTACTGTGTATCTCTCTCTCTCTATCTTGTTCATAGGTGAAAACTAAAAGGAGTAGAAGGTCACTGTAATGGCCTGAAATCTGCTACAACTACCATTCTTTTTTGTTTCTTCTACTCACACCACCACCGCCATCACCACCACCACCATGTAGACTCTTTTCCTCTCTCTTACTCTTCTCTCTCTAGCTTGCTCTCTCTCTCTCTCTCTCTCTCTCTCTTTCTCTCTGAACACAAACAAGTACATTCTTTTCCTACAACAAAGCACAGCACAATGCCAGCCCTCAATCCGCTGATGATCCTCTTGCTCACGACTGTCTACTTCTTCACCACCGCCACTTGTTACCACCACAACCGCCACCTCCTCCACCAGCCCCTTTTCCCCTCTGAGTCCTCCCCTCCAACCCAACCCCCATCCTCCTCTCCCCAATCCCAGTCCACCCCAATTCCCAAACTACCCTTCTCCTCCTCCTCCTCAACCCCTCCCCAAAAACCTTTCTTTCCCTCCTCCTCCCGCTCTCATTCCCCACTGCCCCCTCCCTCCCCAACTTCCCTCACCTCCTTCCCCGCCAACATTTCCTCTATCCTCTTTCCCAGAACCTCCTCCTCCTCCTCCTCCTCCCACCGCCACGTCATCGCCATCGCCGTCTCTGTTTCTATCACTGCCTTCATCATCATCGCCTCCGCCGCCGCATTTCTGTACTACCGTCGAAGCCGGCAGCTTAACCCCACCTTATCCGACGATAAGGCCTCCAGACCCGACAGTCTGCGTCTGTTCCCGCCAAACACCGCCTCCTCCGACGCGGTTCACAAGCATTGTAGTAGTACGCCCAATACCAGCAAAGAGTTCCTCTACCTCGGCACCTTAGTTAGTCCCCGAGGAACTGACGAAGAAAACGCCGCGAACACGAGCAATGCGGGCTTGACGTTCGGGGGGTCGAGCCATTCTGCCTCGCCACCGTATCAGAAACTGGGCTCGCCGGAGCTGCAGCCGCTTCCACCACTTCCCAAGCACAATTTCAGACGGAGCTTCAAGAATTCCCAACTGGGTTCCGACGACGAAGAGGAGTTCTTTTCTCCCAGAGGATCTTCCGCGAGTCCCAAACATGGTGGCGGAAGAATAACAAGCTCCGACAGAGTGTTGAAGGCCGTCGATGGCGTCAACTTCGGAAGCAGAAGCTTCAATTCGAGAACTGCATCATACCCATGTTCGAAATCTGCTTCCCCAGCAAGTTCTGGGTCTCGCACGGTCTCGCCAGCGTTGAATATGAGCCCCATAAGCTTGAAATCGAAGTCGCCGGACTCAGTAATCAACTTCCCAGCTCCATGGCGGCCTCCTCAGATACCGGTATCATCGTCCCCATCATTATCCTCGTCGTCCTCAAGAAAATCTGACCTTTTCGGGCTGAAGAATCACTCTCCGGAGAGAAATAAAAGTTTTGTTCCGATCAGACTTTCTCCTCCGCCTCCTCCGCCGCCACCCCCGAGGTTTTGGGAAGCTCCAGTTGGTCGAACTCCGAACACAGGGCCACCGGTTCTTATCACGCCTTCCCGGCCTGCTGTGGTTCAAACTTCGGCACCCATTTTGGCGGGTGAAAGTTCAGAGAGCAATGAGATGGTGGAAAAGAATGAGGAGACTCCAACAAAACCAAAGCTGAAACCTTTACATTGGGATAAAGTTAGGGCCAGCTCAGACCACGCCATGGTGTGGGATCGCTTGAAATCCAGCTCTTTTCAGTAAGACAAGAACAAATTTCTCGGCCTTTTCTTTTCTGTCAATTTTCGCCGCCAAAGTCGGATCCTTTAGCTTTTTGTTGCACTTGCCTTTTAGTGAATTGTGTTTTTTGTGTGTTGCAGGCTGAATGAGGAGATGATTGAGACATTGTTCGTGGTAAACAATTCGGGTTTGGCACCAAATGACAATGTCCGGCGACAGATTCTGCCCTCTGTGGATCAGGAGAACCGCGTGCTTGATCCGAAGAAGTCTCAGAACATTGCAATTTTGTTGAGGGCACTTAACGTTACCCTTGATGAAGTCTGTGAGGCGCTTTTGGAAGGTAAGTAATAATACTCGATTCTCGCTTGTTGCATTTTGTCTAATTTTAGCATGTTCATTTTGAATTAGTGATGTTGCATACAACTCATGTTTGGAAATGAAGTTTGATAAAATGTGTTTGCATTTATATGAACTTTTGTAAATTTGGCAAGCAGGTAATTCTGATGGACTTGGGACAGAACTGCTTGAAAGTCTATTAAAGATGGCTCCGACCAAAGAGGAAGAACGGAAACTAAGAGAGTTCAAAGATGAATCGCCGTTTAAGCTTGGCCCAGCCGAGAAATTTCTGAAGGCGGTGCTCGATATACCTTTCGCGTTTAAGAGGGTGGATGCAATGCTCTACATTGCCAATTTTGATTCAGAAGTTGATTATCTCAAAAGGTCTTTTGAGACTCTGGAGGTAAATCTTATGTTCTCTTTCGCGTTTAAGGGTGCAATAATTTCTATTTTGTTGATTCGTTCTCATGCTCAAATATCCTGTTGGAGCTAGCTAATGAGCATCTATCTGTTTAAATTCAAACCTTCCTGTCCATATTTGATGATGGGTAGAAAGACTTGAGGCCTCATGATTTTGATTCTTTATGCAAGTCAAAAGTTGAACAGTGAAAAGCAGAATTTTGTTGGCGGCCTTTTCTCTGTAGTTTAAATTTTGGTTCAAGGAACTGGTTTTGAAATATGTTCAGCGGATGACGTGTTTGGTGTAACCACCGGACTGCCTTCGTCTGCTGTTGGTCACTTTCCACTTCTGGTTGATCCGTTTTCTATTTTAATTGTAGTCCAACCAATTTTACTATTAGTGCTTGCTAATCCGAGCCTGTTAATTCTGTCTGGTGTTGTACGCCGTTCTGGCTTTAAGAACTTGGTGATGGTTACAACCGTGGGGCGTGAAGCTCTCAAAAGTATGATTGACCGGTCTGCTATACTCGGGAATTCTGTGTCTGTTTAACATATTGTCGAAGCTGACCTTATACAGAAAACTAAGGGAGTTAAGTAACATGTACTATATGATTGCAAAATCAGTTTTCTGTCTAATTTTGTGGTGTGAATTATTGTTTTAATTATAATAATTATGCTTCTCAACTTTGCCTGAATTGTTTTGCATAAATATTACCAGCTATTTCTGACACAACTCCCTTAATACAGGCAGCTTGCGAAGAATTGAGGAACAGCAGAATGTTCCTCAAGCTTCTTGAAGCAGTGCTCAAAACTGGGAACCGCATGAATGTTGGCACTAACCGTGGCGATGCCCATGCCTTCAAGCTAGACACACTTCTCAAGCTTGTAGATGTGAAGGGAACAGATGGGAAAACCACTCTGTTACATTTTGTTGTGCAGGAAATCATCAGAGCTGAAGGTTCGCGTCTCTCTGGCATGAATCAGAATCGAACAACCGAGGATAGTCAACAATCTTCTTTCCGGGATGATGTTGAGTTTAGGAAGCTTGGCCTGCAAGTTGTTTCAGGATTGAGTGGGGAGCTCACCAGTGTAAAGAAGGCTGCTGCTATGGATTCAGATGTTCTTAGCAATGAAGTTGCGAAAATTGCTGGTGGAATTACAAAAATAGCAGAAGTAGTAAAATTAATTGAAGGAAGTGCATCGAAGGAGAGTAGCCAGAAATTCTTCGATTCCATGAGTGGGTTCTTGAACAAGGCTGGGGAAGAGATTGTAAGGATTCAAGCTCAAGAGAAAGTTGCATTCTCTATGGTAAAGGAATTAACAGAATATTTCCATGGGAGCTCAGTTAGGGAAGAAGCTCATCCCTTCCGAATTTTCACGGTGGTGAGAGATTTTCTTTCTATTCTAGATCAGGTGTGCAAGGTGGTTGGAAAAGTTAATGAAAGAACTATCGTTGGGTCAGCATGTCAGTTCCCCAGGGTTCTGAATGCAACCCTTCCACCGGTTTTTCCAGGACTCAGTGCAAAGCAGCATGATGGTTACTTGGATGATGAAACCGCGATCTCGACTTAGTGCTTGAGTTTATGTTGTATGGATGGGATGAGCATCTGGCTGGAGCTTTTGATGAATTGGTTACCTTTTTAGGTTCAGCACCCTTCCTTGTACTTATATATAAAATATACACACAAGATTTTGGAATTGTTCCATCTTGTGTAATATATAGGGGGAATTAGATCAGAAGATAATAAGTTGTAGTAGAACAATATTTTGGTCTGATGTATAAATTTTATTAGTTATATTTAAAGCTTCTGGTTCAGTAACTGCAGATGTCTTTTTTTTAATATTCCCAATTCTCTCTTTTTATTTATTTTTAAATACAAAATGTGCAAAAATTATTTTTACAAAAAAGTGACATCACTTGACTAGGATTTTCCACTGACGCTTGCCTTCCCTCCTTGCCAAGTTCACAAGGCAGCAAACTGGGAGTTCTCAGCATCCATACGTTCAATCACCCGCCGTGCTTCCTCTTCTGTAGCAGGAACTACGCTCCGAATCCGGATCCCATCTTTCATGGCTTCAGGAAGGACAGAGAATGTGAAGTAGAATTTGTTTGATACCTGTTCAAACATATAGCAGACATGAAAAGAATTAAATATCTAAGCATCCCAGATCAAAGCATTTGTAAAGCAGGAAAAAGGATTTCATTTTGTATTTCCTACGGAAAGTAACTGTCTTTCAGTTTCACACAATTGAGATGAGATTATCTGCCTGAAGATCATTTTTGACAGACCTTCAAAACCAACCCACTCGTTTTCTTTAACCTTCTCGTTAATGTAAGCTAATGTGCTCACCTCACTGGACCTAAGCTCTGGCTGTGTAACATGAGCAACGACTTCCACGTTTATCAGAGGTTCATCTGGGTTTTCAAGTTCTGTATAGAGAACACAAGACTTCAAACGGAGGAAATTTCCTACATCGACCTGCATCAGAAAAACAACGATTATTAGTGACCCCCAAACATGTACCCAACATTTGATGAAAGTTCTGTATTGATTTTTTAGGGGTAATAGGCTCAAAACACAGAGAATTAACAATTTAAGTTGGATATAAAATTTTGATGGGTAATAGGCTCAGTTACTTACAGGTCTAACAAAATCAACATGATCAACTTCCAGAAAGTGTGGTGCTACACCAGCAAATGCATATGTTGTTGAGAAGGCAATTTCAAATGCTCTTCGCATCAAAAATCCTCCAAAGATCCGACCATGGATGTTCCTTTGCTGTGGCTGGCAAATAAAGGAGTTCTGGAGGCAAGTATCCCTTATAAGAATGCTATCTCGGTCTGCCAGTGCTGGCATGTCACAGAAAACTCGACCTTCGGCTAACAAGGCATTGAGTCTGTCTGTGTCCTGGTTTTCAGTATCTGTTTTATGTTCTGCTCTTTTCTTTTTCCTCATTTTATTCCTCTTATCTGCTTCTTCCCAGAGCAATTTTTCTTTCTCAGTCTCAGGCAATATCTGGTTAACCGGAGCTGATTTTCCAGACTTAGAATCACGGGCTACAAAAGTGAAGTTTGCTGTAAGAGCAGTGGACTCTGATGGGTATGAGGATCCTGCAAATTAAGTTTCGAATCTAAAGTCAGCCCAATGAAAAAAAAATCGAGATAATTAGCAACAAGAAACTAGAATATTTGGTTACGTAAACTTCAGTACCCTGCAACGATTGAGTCACTTCCAGCTGAATTTCCATGGATGACTTCCCAACCCATATGACAGCGCCACCTATATTCAAATCAGTGTCAACAAGGATAGGTTTTTTCAAAACCATCTTGTCAACAGAAGCAGTCACCAGTAGCAGAGGCCTTGTTGTGCCATCTTCATTGCAGCAATGCTGGCCAGCAAGAAGTTCAAAAACTAGGATCATTTTCAAAGAAGTAGCAACCCCTCTACATGTTATGGATCCCTACCCAACAGCTAATTCAAGAAACAACCCGTTACGCAGAAGGCTAAATCTAGCTAGCCTCAACGACCAATACATTTCGAAAGTTAAGGCATTTACAAATCGAATATTCAGTTAGAGGATCAAGTTGAAACTCGGGTAATAGTTCCGGGACTAATGCTCCAATTTATGCAAGAACAAAAACCATGTTATCAGCCTTTGTTTTCCCTACCAATCCGAATTCCAAACCCAACAGAAATCAAACAAATACATACACAACAAAATTGCAGCAAGAATTGAACTACTCTTATAACTAAAAGACTTAAAATTGATACCTTGAATGCAATGGTTCCAGCAAGAGCATCGAGATCCTCAAGCAACTTCCCCATTCTAATCCCATTCCAGGGGTTCCTGTACTGCTCTCTCAGTTTATAATCAGACGAAAACTTGTACAGAATACTGGTCCGACTCTGCGCCGGAGTCCTGGCCACCAATTCACTCTGCGGAGGCGCGTCACCTGATGCGTCCCCGCACATCTTTGATCTTGCTTCCCACAGAGCATTTGTGACAGGGGAACTGTACATTCCAGGCCATAAACTTATCGGTTTTCGAATAGAAGAGCCTGCATCGATGGGCTGCGAACTGTCGTGGGGCGAAGTCACTATGGAAACAACCGGGATTGGCTGAGAAGGGTCGGAATTTGCGGTTGAGAAGGGCCTGCTTTGAGTGAATGGCTGGGGAATAGGAACGAAAGGTGGGATCTTGAAGGTGGGTTTTGGCTGCTGTGGTGGATTTGGTATGTGGGTAATGGGTGATTCAGGTGGGTGTGGTGAGGAAGGATGAAGATTTGGAGTGAGAGTGAAGTAGGAGGCGAGTGATTGGAAGGATGAAGATTTGGATTTTGGGGTGAAGAGGAGGTGGGGAAGTGGTTTTCTGAGTGGTGTCATGATGGTTCTATCTTCTACGTGTGGAGAGAGAGAAAGAGTACGTCATTCACATTCTGGGTGTACTGGAGAGAAACTCAGGAGCAGCAGCAGCAGCAGGATCTGTTCTGTTTAATGGTTGGTTGGATTCCAGTTTTGTAGCTGAAGGAGCTATTTTCTGCTCCGATCACCGCGCGAAATGAACGTCATGGTGTTGGCGCTGGCGGCTTAATAAGTCAACGTCTTGGAAAAGATCCTTTTCCTAGGGATCCAGAGATTTGTAATCGTGATCATTCATTATATATCATACGGTTAAAAATATAAATAGTATTTAATAAAAACTAACCGTACGATATACGATGAACGGTCACGACCACGAAATCTCCAATAGATCCTTTACCATGTTTATTTACGAGTGATATGGGTTACTTCTGTTCAAGAACAGAGTGCTTTTACTTTTTTATTTTTAAGACAAAATATTGAAATTTTTTAAAAACTAAACGTTTTTAAAATTTTCATCAAAACATAATCAGAAACGTTTTTAATTGTTCCTAAACACTTTTCGCCAATAGTGTACGAAATGTGAAATTTAGATGCAAACGCAAGATGTGGAAACACTGCGATAATCAACTCATCTAATGTAGAAGCATTGAGGACAATGAATTAAAATATAAAACTTTTTTTTTTTGAACAATAAAATACAAAACTTCAATGCACGCACTTTTACTTCTTGAATATAAATCCCTTGCAAGAAAATATATATTCGAGGTAGGTTCATTTCGTGATTTATTTTATTACATATATTTTAAATTCATTTAAATAATGAGATTTGTGTCATTTAATATCTGCAATCTAAAAATATTTATTTTATTGGTAAGTAAGATGTCTTAATCTTACATATCGTGAATAAACTAATTAACGTAATTACGTCTACATGTGCAACTAATTGGGGTTTGACCAAGGAAAAAATAACGAAAAGTAAAAATAACACATGGTGGATGGAGAATAAGGCCCAATCGCGGAGGTTGGAGGTGGGCTTACAAATACACCCCAAGGTCCAAAAATCCCACCCTAATATATACAAAGCTGTAGCAGCGAGAGCTTCCCGGTTATTGTTAATCTCCGTCTCTCTCTCGCGCTCTCTCAAAAGTTAAAAGCACCGGCACCGGAACCAGCAAAGGTCAGTGCTTTTGATCCGCCGCGTCTCTTCTCACCATTTTTGTTTCTTCTTCTTTTAGCCTCAGCTGTTATATCAACTACTCGTTTCGTTGTTGTTCTTTTTCAGTTTACAGATTTAAGGGATTTTCTGAACTTGCCCTTTTAGGGTTCTTGAATTTGCGCTTTTGCCTGAATAAAGGTTGAATTTGGGATGCGTATGACGATGGAAATGCAAATTAGGATAAACCCAGTAGCAGCATAAATGTGTTAAGGACCTTTTATTTGTGGAGAATTTGTTCATGGCTTGGGTTAAGTCTAGCTCGGTTTTTCTTCTTTTTATTTTTTAATTGAAAAAAATGGTTATCCTTTGCTTGTTTGATGAATTTACATGGCTTTGTTTCGAAGATGTATGTTTTGTAATCAAAAGGATGATTCTTTAGCACCCTTTTTGGTGTAGAAATGAGTAATTCCAGAAATTAATTTAGATGAGATGCTTGTGTAGACCTGTGGACTTGATGCTCATTATGCTTCTCACGTTAGGTTAAAGAGTTGTAAGTTCAATCACAGCAGAATATGTTGTTGCAGGAGGAGGTTGGAAAGGTATTCCTTAGCAAAAGTGTTTGTATAATTAAGCGTATACTAGGATCCTTTGGAATATAGCCTTTTGTCCGATGATCTTTCTAATTTTTAATGGCTGTCTTTAGAGTTAGATTGGTTTAGTTAGCTATTATCAGAGCTACAATAGCAATAGGCATCAGTTTAGTGGATTTCTGCTCTTCTTGAACATTTCTTGCTCTACGGTCTTTGTACTTCGGTTGAAAGCTCTTCACAACTTTTGTTCTTCTCTTTAGTTTTCTTCATAGATAGTGTCTGTGTTTGTGTAATTAGAGTTAATCATCGGATAGCAACAAGCTAAAATCCTTTGTTTGGATTGGATTGTGTAAAGGGCGAAGTCTATATTTACTGTGTTTTGCACTGCGATGATTGGTTGATGTATCTCTGTTCGTTTCAGTAGCTCTGCTTTTGCAATTCTTTATGATAGGTACTAGTAATTCATCATGATGGAGATTTCTTGTCTATCTTTGTTGTCTCCTTTAGTGCTTTAATTTGGTTATGATTTGAATTATCACAGGAGGTACAAGAAGTTAAGATTTCGGATAGAGAAAATGAGTGGAGGTGGAGAGAAAGGGACAGGAACCACAAAAACTCCGGCAGATTTCCTCAAGTCAATTCGTGGGCGACCGGTTGTTGTAAAACTGAATTCTGGTGTTGACTATCGAGGTATGTTTCTTTAGTTTGATTTTATGCTCGCCTTTTCATGCCAGTTTGGTTGTATTCAAATCGGGGCCCAACATATTATTGTTAAAGTTTGCAAAGTTATTTTGTGTAGCAAAGATTCAAGCTGCACTGCTGCAGGGATCAGTTTATTTTGATGGCTCAATTTTCTTATGCAGGTATTCTTGCGTGTCTTGATGGGTATATGAATATAGCAATGGAACAAACCGAAGAATATGTCAATGGACAGTTAAAAAATAAGTATGGCGATGCTTTTATTCGTGGAAATAATGGTAATTATCTAAGCATTGTCTTGTTATGTTTCTCTTTAGTGTTGCCTCCATGAGAAATAATTGGATTTGTTTTGTTTGCGTTTATGCAGTTCTATACATTAGCACGACGAAGAGGAATGTGGCTGATGGGGCTTAGTTGTTTTATGGAGCCATGTAGATCATCTGCTGTCATGCTTTATGCAATTATGTTGTAATGTAAGCTTACATGGGATCATGAGAAGGAAATAGGACTAGTCGACTCGGTACATTTTTCAGTATCTATTTTGGAATGAATGAAAGAAATGATCTGTTGACTGATGATTAATTGTTGTTCAGATTTAAGTCTCGCTTCTTGGGATGATGATTCTTTAAGTCTTGTTTAACGAAGATAACATCTGTCGAGCGTTTCTTCACAGAATTTCGTAGTGACACCTTTTGGTTTTGTGTTGGTCGTGTGTTCTTGTGAATTTGTCGTGAGAGCTTAAAAAATAAGTTGTGCTTTGCTACTTTATGCATGAAGTTGCAAGACTTTCATATCAAAATGGGATGGTCAGCATCCAATTGAAATATCTTGGCGTACAAGAACCGATGTGAGACGCTATTAGTCTTCGAATGCCTATTACATTTATTCGACCCCGAAGGAGAAATAAGATTCCTACTGCATTTCCCTTGGTTTACATTCTTGATACATTTTGCTTTTGAACACACAAGAGGTCATGAGAAACGCGAGCGGCGACCTGAGATAGGTCCCAGAGTATCCTTTGCTGCTACCACTTTACTCACCAACAGCTTCCATTTAGCCTCGTCTTTCTTGGCCTGCTGCTGCATTTTTTCCTTCAAATGCCTGAAACCACAAGAGCAGTAGTTAAGATGCCTCTGACCGTCAAACCCGAGTTGTATTATTCACTAAAATGGAAAATATATAAAATGTAACTCCGGCAGTAACAGTATTGATCCGAGGTTATGCTACAATACAACATAAAACCTCTCAAAGGGTAAGTACTGACCAAATGCCAACCAAATATGAACTGAAATTGGAGTTTCTTACCCTGAGAATGTAGGGCAAAGAAGTGCATGTGGAGTTCTTACCTACACAAAGGGACCTTGCACAATTCAGGCTCATTGCAAATACGAGAATGCAGTTCAAGAAGCTGCCACATGCGTTTGCAGTGAGCACATCCACCAGGAACCCCGGTTTTACAGCCGGAGAAATGACGAACTAAGGTCTCAAGCCCCTTGCAAGCAGGAAAACCACAGCAACTTGGCTTCCTTTAAACACCTTGTCACGGGGACCTATAGTTCTACATCCATCCCTACATATGTGGAGAAGGGCTTCCATTGCCTCATACAGTTGCAAGTACACTTTTTTCTCTTCCTTTTTCTTCAACCTCTCTTCTTTCCTCTGGCACAAAAAATTGAATCCAAGATCTAAAAATTAAATGAGAGACCAAATGAATATATCATCTCAAAATCAAACATACATGTATTATTTTGTTTCTTCCCCCTACAAATACAGAGTAAGATAAGATATTTGAAAAAGGAAAGAAAAACTAGCTTACAGAATCTGCTTCAACAACGGACTCTAGCAGTTCTTGTTCAAGTGCAGGACTAACTCGCTTCATTACTTTCCAGCCTTCGGTTGATGATATGGCTTTAAAGTCCTTCACAACCATGCGTACACAAATCAAGGATAGCCGCGGTGCATCACACTTCCTTGCCAATTGAAGCACATCGACCACATTTTCTTTGGTAATCCATCCCTGCTCAAGAATGTATATACAAACTCTTTTCAATGATGGAACTGAGTAAGAGTGTGACAAAACCAATAAATGGAGAACAAATTTCTTCATCTCTTCCTTTTCATAGCTGCATAGGACACAAAAGAAAATATTTTAAGAAATTTAGCGGATCAAGAAATTCAGATATAAAAGGAGGAGTGTACTGAACTACATAATTCAAAAATACCAGGATGAGTAAAGAAAACGGATGAATGCGTAGACAGCTTCATAAGGTACCCCAGGAATCTTAATGTATCTCATTCCATTTCTTGCTTTTGATTGCTGCAGGAATTTACCTAGCACCGGTGACGCAATTGTCTGCACATTCAATAAAAAAGGAAACTTTTTAGCCATATCCTTACCTAGAAATTTCATTCAGGATTTGCAAAGGGATGAAATTATTGGGTTAATTCAATTAACTTACCAGAACACTAGAATGAACTGGAATACACAATCCATCCTCGGTGCAAATATAGACATCAGCACCATATGCTTCTTTAAAAAGCTTGTCCCATGTATCAATTGTTTCATTTGGGACATAGCAACTCTGTGAAAGCCTGTTGAAAAGTTTATTTTGTGTATATGCTTTACTAGGGACAGGAGGTGGTTTCGGGATATTATGGCTATAGGACGTAGAAGAGGTTGGGTCTTCCAGAACAGGTAAAATGTCATCTGGGTTCACTTCCTCTATATGTATATTGAAAGATCCAGAAAAGGAATCGTGAGTTGAGGATGGCCAGGGTGAGTCGGGAGTAGATGAAGCCATCGGGCTGTTGCGGTTTACCTAAAAGAACTATAAGCAAAAAAAGTATGATAGAAAATCTGCACAAAAGAATAAAACGAGCTTAAGAAACGCTCTAAATGATTTTTGAATGTTCTAACACAAATTTTAAATGCACTAATTACATTGAGATGAAACACCGCACGGAATATTTCTCCTACAATGATTATGTAACAAAAGATATTTCGGAAACATATCTATTTATAGGTATGGCTTGAATGGTATCTCATGGTTGGATCATATCATGAAAATCCACTTAACAAGTAATGTCAACAACTACTAATGAAAGAATGGAAAGACTTCGATGCCCCATATAGGAAAAGAATAAACTGCATAAGCCATCTTGACTTATATGCCAATCACAAAATTGCTTCTGAAATGGAGGGACACATCTTCTTAGCGGTAATTCCAGTTTTGGAAACAAATCTTTCCTGCATGCCTAACTTTGAGATTAGAAATTTCTTATGTGTCAATCTCAACCGGCGATGCAGGAATGTATATGTTCCCAAAACCAGAATTACCGCTAAAACAAATAAGATGTTGGTTGAAAAAACTTTGCATATACCTTACATGCTCCAGTTTACAGGAAACAAGGCATCAACGAATCTATACACAAATGTAAAAGTTTATAACTTCAACCGTCCCGGAGTGGATATATTTCTTACTTTAAGTATGGAAACACCAATAATTCAAAAGTAAAAGTCTCCCTAAACAGAACATATCTTAGTTAGTAAGCAAAACTAAAATAACACATCTGATACAAAATCTAATCTTGGTCGTGTAACGGCAACGGTGATTAATTATTACGCTCCAAGACACAAGAGCTTGAGGAAAGTGCCGAAAGGCAGATCCCACATGCACCAACTGAGCCTAATCAAATCTTACTTCTCCACAATTTAAAACGATCACATTTATTTATTTTTGCAAAAGCTAACTAAAAGGGGGCGACCCAACTAACAAGGTTCCTACTTTGCGAGTGCACTCGTGGGGATGATAGTCTATAGTATGCAGTCTTACCTTGCTTTGCAAAGAGACTGTTCGCCAACTCGAACCAGTGTCCTTGGGTCACAAAAAGCAACTTTTCCGTTGCAAAAGCTAACTGATAGACTAAAATTATGGTACAATTTTTATTACTTTATTGTAAATAATAGAGCTATTACATATGCTTAGTACTATAAAAATTCACAGGAAAAAACAAACGGAGAAGAAAAATGGATTGAAAGAACAAACTTTGGATATCGAGAAAATTCAAGAAAATCTGAATCATACCTTGTATAAAAAAGCAAATCTTCTCAGAAAAATTCGAGACTTGCGCCGATCTTCCCCGCAGTCTTATCACTCATGCTAGATACACACTCAAATGCCAAACGAAGCTGAAACCAACAAAATAATCAAAATTTCTAATAAATGATCACAGAAAAATGAATTGAAAGCAAAAATCTACAGAATAAAGCGAAACTGTAAAAATTATATCCAAAATCTACAAAAAGTCACTAAAATCTACAGAAAAAAAGTAGGAAATAAAGAAATCACCTGAGAGGAAGAAGAGAGGTTGGATGATTGGAGGATGTGAGAAATGAGAGTAAAGTTTTGGGAGGCGGAAAGAGATGGAGCGCACGGGATTGCAGAGGAAGAAGAAGAAATGAGTCGGTGACAGAGAGCGACGGACGTGTGTCTGTCTTCTAAAATACGAGGGAAATCGTTCCTTGCATAAACCAAAAACCATACCCGTCCGTTATTTATTACTCACCTTTTCCTCTCTAATTTTTCTAAATATTTTTTTATTATTTAACCCATGTTTATTTCTCAAGAGAAATACAAACCAGCTAGATTACAACAATTATTGAATCACCTTACATATACTTATATATATATATATATATATATAGGCTCTTTAAGAGGAGGATCTTCAATTTTTTTTTTTTTAAATATGGATTAGTCGTGGGACCCACTTCATATCAAATTTCAACGATTTGAATTGTTTATTTTGTAAGTCTCGATTCTTAGATCATTCTTACAAAAATTCAATTCAATCCGAAATCATTTGCCTATTTAATTATCACGATGAAATTTCAATGTTTCCTAGATAACAAAATGTTCATCAATTTCTTTGAACTCAATTAGATGCCTCAAACATTTCTGGTTTGGTTAATATTTTGCAAGCATGTTCTATAATATACAACTTACAAAATAGACGGTTCGGATCGTTAAAGTTCAATGTGGTATAAGCCCCACAACTCATTCCCATTTTTATAAAAAAAAAAAAATGAGAGTCCCTCCCCTTAAAGTGAACATTGACAAAAACAAAAATAGTGCCAGACTATGTAGTTAAACTTGGGACCTGATTCACATAAATAATTTGGTAACTACTAGCAAACGACAATCAATACAATGCAAAGAATAATATAAAAAATTCATGAAAGATAAGATTTACCGGAATGTTCATCATGAAGAAGAATTCTCGCTTACCATGTGCTACATATTTATGAAGAATTGTAATTACAGATAGGATTATTGGGTATTTGAGTGTTGGATTATTAGGATCGTTTCAAAGTCAGCCAACATTCCATTTGAGTTGGACTGAATTGTATCCAAGTAAAGCTATTAAACTGAATAGATAGTATAGGTAAGATATTTTCATTTATGATAAAATAGCACACCTAATTGACTAGTAAATTGTGAAGTTAAAAACAATATTATTAGTAGTAGATCTATTAATAGTGTAATACTCAATTTCCTCTCTAAAATCTAGAAATGCCAAG